TGCTGAAGATGATGATGATGATGATGTTGATGGTCGTGATGATGATGATGATGATGATGATGATGATGATGGTCGTGATGATGATGATGATGATGATGATGATGACGATAATGGCGCTGATGATGCTGATGACAGATTATGAAGAGGAAGAGGAGGGGGAGGAGGAGGAGAAGAAACGACGACGACGATGATGGCCATGTGGGTGAATTATGGATTAGTTGACCAGTACCCGTTGCTCCCTTGTCTATCATGCCACGAAGTCAAGCTGCCAAATTCTTGGTCGCGGCGCTATTGCGTAAGTCGCGGTCGCAGTCTGTGCGCGGTTGACTTCCTTGCGAAGCCGTTAAATCTGCCTGCAAGAACCTCTACAATAGTCGGAAAAGATTCTCTGCTGCAAGCCTTGCGCTTGCATTCTGCACTTGCTGGTCTTTGCCTTTCACGGACGGACTGCTCTGGTGCAGCCGCATGCAATTTGGTTTTAGCATACTGGTCATCACATGCAATTTGGAACCTGCACTAATTGAGGATAGTCGCATTGATTCCTGAAGCCCAGGTCAGGGGCTGTGTGTCGCGGCTAGGTCTCTGTAACTTTACGTCTGATGAGAGGTGCTGAAGGAGCTACCAAGGCGATGCCAAGCATAGATCCAAAGAGCACAGTACCCCAAACCTAATAAAACTAAACGATGTCCTACAATTTAGATAAATTTCGAAACGTGATGGCATGCTAGTCGTTGGCTTATCACCCGCCAGACTCCTAGCAGGAGCTAGGACTGGCACCGATTTGTTTTCGAATGATGACATCTCGCATCTAGCCTCATTGGACATACCTCTGGGAAAGTTTCTGTGAGCTTGGTTGCTTTATCCTCTCAGGCAAGCCCAGGCCGTGTGATGGTATCCCAGATTCAACTACTGTACCTCCTGGACCAGGTACTGTCGGACGCGCAATGATCAGCCAAAATCTCTGCAGCCCTGTACTGCTTGCTGTAAACTTGCAGCTGTCAGTTCGTGAAAAGGCCGCGGTTAAGGAACCGCCGTGAGGTGAAAAAGGCAGCCGCAGGGTCAAAGACCTCCCTTCCCAAACTGTTGGGTTTGTTTTGCAAGGCTTACGGTTCAAGGCTTGGGCGTCTGGCTTCTTTCCGGGGTGTCGAGCTTATACTTCCGGCATTTAGGGCATTGTGATCCCTTCCGTTGGGGTTTACAACTTCTCATCTTGAGGCAGCTTGCTGCGCCCGCCCGCTGAAAATTCCAAGGATGCAATGTAAAACAATAAATAAAATGGTAAGTTGTTCGATCCAGTAAGCAACGCAATACTAGCCAACATTGTCTCCGGGGGGCGCTTCAAGAGACTGAGGACCCGAAGAAAAACTACAGACACTGGGATCCAAATTCGAGGGAGCCCTGTTGAGGAATGTTCCGACAGTGCTGGCTGAAGCCATACAAGGAGACTTTGACTCTTCGAGCGTGCCAAAACGGACTTCAGTCCCTCGGACAGGTACCCTGCAAAATTAGGGCTTCGGGACCAAGGGTGGGTGTAGGGTTGGCTTAGGGTTGAGGAAAACTATCGGGACTTAGTGATAATTCAAAAAATTCCCTTCTCACGCGCTCGGAAGCCACATGGCAGGGCCGGTGGTGCCGACAGTGCCATTCCTGGGGCCGCAGTAACCATCACAGCTGGTTCTCCTCCTTTTCTGATTGCCATATTCGAGGAAGATGCTGAGGTTTTCGTGCGCAAGGCGAGGTTGAAATCGTACCCCTTCCGGTTTAGGGTTTAACTCTGCTAGCTGCTAGCAGCTTGCTATGGTCTTTGAAGGTGTAGCGATGGGGGCTGCAGAAATGAGGCATAGGACATTAACAAAAACGCAAGCTTCGGCTCCAGGTTAAAACTCGGCATGTAATGTTCGTACCTAGCCATCCTTGCAAGGGCTCTGGAAGAGCATCGCCATCAGTGCCACCATTGCCAAGCCTGAGAGGCTTGGAGTCTAACAACTTAGGCAGCTGTAATATGATGGCCCACCAGGCGTTGCTCGTGCCCTCCCGGAAGCCCCCACACCGAAAGTTCTGGGACCCGACTTTAGTTCGAGGGTAAAGGATTTACTCGGCCGTAAACTTTCCAACGGTCATGTCCAACGATCTGGTGAAACGCTGAAGACTTGATTTAATGAGCTCCTCTTCGAGCCTACAATTGTAGGACCTGGCGCTGGTGGCGATGTTGGTGACGGTGGGATAGCTACAGCAGCAGCAGCAGCAATGAGTTGTAGTGGCAGCAGTGGAGGGGTAGAACATGAGCAGGAGCAGGAGTAGGAAGAGGAGTAGGGGCAGAAGGAGGAGGAATGGGAGTAGGGCAGGAGGAGGAATGGGAGCAAAGAAGGAGGAGCAGCAGCAGCAGTTGCTGCTGGTGCTGCTGCCATGGCTATAACTGTTGCTGCTGCTGCTGCTGCTGTTGCTGCTGCTGTTGCTGCTGCTGTTACTGCTGCTGCTGCTGCTGCTGCTGTTGTTGGGTGTTGTTGCTGCTGCTGTTGTTGTTGTTGTTGTTGTTGCTGTTGTTGGTGGCGACTCCGGCGGTGTTGGTGGTTGGTGTCGGTGTCGGTGTCGGTGTCGGTGTCGGTGTCGGCGTCGGTGTCGGTGTCGGTGTTGGTGTTGTTGCTGTTGTTGCTGTTGTTGGTGTTGCTGTTGTTGTTGCTGTTGTTGTTGTTGTTGTTGTTGTTGTTGTTGTAGGTGGTGTAATTGGAGTAGGAGCAGGAGTAGGAGCAAGAGAGGTAGCGGTAGTAGCAGCTGTCGTCGTCGTAATCGTAGTCGCCGTCCTTGTGGTCGTCGCCGTCCTCGTGGTGGCTGGGTCCCCCGGTCCTTGTGGTCGTGGCTGTTGTCGTCGTTGTGCTCGTCGTTGTCGCCGGCGCGGCAGAAGTACTAGCAGCCGCACGAAAAGGAGGAACGAGGAGGAACGCCGAAGCAGGAAGAGTGATGATATTGATGAGAATTGCAGTGATAGTTCCGAGAACAGCATCTTAGCGGAATAGTCACGACAATTATGCATCCACCACGACATCATCCATCATTATCGCCATCTATCTCGACCAACGCCGTCATGCGCATACCACTAAATCTCTCGGGGCAGCACTCTCATCAAAAACCACGCAGCAGACACAAAAAAGTTAAACATATCAGCAGTAGGAGGATTTATAAATGGAAAGGCTACTGGTTCCATCGTCGAGGGATTTAAGATCTTGAGGGGCCTTGGGCTTGAGCCTGAGGGATGCGAGGTTTGCCCTTCAATGCACTGCGGGTCTTGGGGGGTCCAGGGAACCCCAAAAGTTTCGGGGTGTAAGGTATGATCCGAAGGTGTTGAAGGGCTTGAAGCTCCGTGTGGAAGGGCTCAAGCCTACGAATCGATGAAGGCTTCAAGGCTGCAAAGGGTCCAAGCCGCAACCCGAAGAAACAAGACCAGTGCACGCCCGCCACCCCTCTTCTCAGCCCGTGCCACTGTGTCGGCAGCACGCTGGGACACCCCAAGCAGCGCATGCAAAGGAGGCAGCCTGGGCGCACTTCCACGATGAGTGTAGATAGCTCAGATAAGGCGACAATGCTGTGCTACACGGCTATGGATACACACATCTCGCAAGAAAGTGGCAATGCGTTTGAATGTTCAGTCATATCATTTTGTATCTCTGCAGCTGTGCAAGTAGAGACCAGTAAAGTCTGGGTTAATTAGCCTTATGCACTCACATTCGCGCCTTCGAGCCGGCTTGATTTAGGGGCTGTATCGCCCAATTGAACAATCAGGCTTGGAAAAAGCTTGCGAATGAAAGAGGCTTCTGTAATTTCTTTTGGTTCAGGGTTGCGAGCGCAGGTAAGGATTGCTTCAACCAGACGGTCTTGAAAATCCCGGGGCTTCCCGTGACGCCTTAAGCCCTGTGCCTATGCGAGCGAGTTCAGCGTCAACCCCAAACCTTAAACCATAAGCCATCCTGTATCTCTCATCTGGCACCGTCAGGAGTCCTGCTATGATTTGAAGGATGTGGCCGAGCTTTACAAAGGTTTTGCAGTCTCTGGGTTCATTTCGAAGGCAGCGCGAGGAGCAGGCCGCACAGCGAGAGGCCGCACACCGAGAAGTACGAGTGAAGGAGATCCTTGCTGCAGGGTTTCCTCCCGGATTCTACGAAATACGGCGAACATTTGCAGCAGTTGTCAGTTTTGGAAAGACAGTCTTCTCGGCTTTTCGGCCGAAAAGCTGTGTCGAACTTGTGAATGGCTCGGGTTGAACGGTCTAGTGACTATGTGAGATGAACGCTCGCAATCTGGTCGGAGTCTGGGCTCGGGCATCAAGGCAGTAGCCCATCAGGGTGGACTTCCAAATCCCAAGTCAACCTAAACTCCGAAGCCTGTGCTGAAAACCTTGTCTGTTCGGGGAACTTCATGGATCCAAGCTGGAGTGCTTGCAGATGAGAAGGGGGGTCTGGAGTTTTATCTCCTAGCTCGAAGTCGTTTTGAGTTCCCGGGTCTCGGTCCAGTTTCTGGCATAAGGCATACACAGGCATGGGTTTGAAGACGTGTTTTCAAGCAAGATTTGCGGCTCGTGAACTGTGGATTTTCAGCAATACATATACATCGGTCATCGGTACGGGGCTCGGGATTCTGACGTCCTTGTTGCTGCCTTCTTGTGGCTTTAGAATTGGAGGGTGGCCAACTGGTGTCTTCTAGCGCAGGCTCCTGATAGCGATGAATCCACCACCCTGGCCCGAAATGCCGTGAACCCCAAGACCTTCCCCAAGAAAGCCATGCTTCCGGGAAGGGCGCATCCGGAAACTTCTGAAAGCCACCTAAGCCTCGGAGCTGCCATAAGCTTTAGGCCTTGAGAGGGCTTAGGCTCGAGCAGGGGGGTGGGGTTGTTGGAACAGATTAGACTTTAGGGGTTTAGGTTTTCTCCACACGTCTGCTTGAGAAGCATCGTAAAACCCAAACCTGTTTGGGCACAACATCTGCCCCCCGCCAGCAAGCGATGTGCCCTTGTGCGCTTGAAAGTGTTGGGGCAGTGTCTGAGAAGGTCTGTTGACGACATCAAGCAACATGAAGTTTCGGGAAATACTCATACCATCTGAAGGTATCACACATGTACCGGGGCTGCTCACGTGCCCGAATTCTAGAATTGATCTTCCTACATCCCTAAAACCATTGCAGAAAGCGGGCTGCGCTTCTTGGATTGGATTCGGGTTGATGATCGCTGTTACCTCTAAGTCTAACCTTGAGTGCTGAACCGCCGCTTCCACCCGGTCAACACCTTCTAAAAGAACCCAAGCAGGGACAACGGTCTGAAACATCCCAAGATGTCTGGGTCAAGAAGCGCTGCGACTCGCATCGTTTCAGAAACCTCAGAGCATTCGCGATACACTCCTCCGGAAAGGTCCATGGGTGAAGCCACGTATGACCAACATGCACCACTTCTCATCTTACGGCGATGCACAGTTGCCAATTCGGACATATCCGCTTCATGCGTAGAGGGCAAACCCTAGAGACTTTCCGCAGCAACTCAGACTCAACAACCTAACCCGAGCCCGCCAAACCTAAGCCTTTTACGGCTCATAGCTTCCCATCCCGGAAGCTGCAGGCAGTCGTCTTGCTGGAGGAATTTTGCGCCCAAGAGTTGCATGGAGCCGCCCACCCAGAAGGAGTAGCAGCCTTGTGGTCAGGAGGGGAGAAAGCCTGTCGCCTCCATATCCCCGGCGTTCTACCGTGTCGGGTCATGTTTGTTTACCGCGAAATTGGATTGCCAAAGCGCGGAACAGCAGTAACAAAAGACACTTCCACAGGGTCTGACGGGCACTGAGCTTATGATCAGCTTACAACCCGGCCTCCGATAAAACAACACAGCATCTCCCTTAACGATATGCAAGTTGGCGTTCACGACCTTTCAAACTACAGCATGCCGTACTCCACGAAGCTACCCCGTTCACAAGACAGGTCGAGAAGACAAGATTAGAGAAGGTAGGCTGTGCCGAGGCTATGCTACAGCATAAAAGGGATTGATCTGAAGACTTGTTGAAGCCACTCAATGCTTGCAGTCGAAAAGCTGTCAGGATCCTTTTCAATGCGCCCTTGGAATCCAGAGATCTGCCTTCGCACACACCTCAGGCTTGCGAAAAACTGGTCGAGTCGGGTCTAATACAATAGTATATCATCATGAACCATGACTATCATAGCCGTTGTCATTATCATGCATGTCCTGACTTTTGTGTGCCCTACTATGAATTACAGGCATGAGTGCGACGACGACAACGTGTCACGGGGCAAGTATCAACCCTACTGTAAACCCTCCTTTAAAAAATTCCGGAACTTAGTGTTGCTGCGATGTAGAAGAACCCGAGCCCCCTACTTAGATCCAAAGAAATGTTCGGGCAAAAGGCCTGCCCACCTTCAAACCTGCGGGCAGAGTTTGCATTTTTAAGGTCCATGTTTGTGCTTTAGGATTGGCGTCATTTCTTCATGCATCGGAAAGACCGCATGGTTTGCATGACCCTGCCTGATGTAGGTTTGGAGATTCATGCTTGCCAGTTTCAGGGTTCGGTTTGTTCATCCTCGAGGCTTCGGGATTTGTGCCAAGCCCGAATCCCATATATTAGTCGCATCAACAAGTGCTAGCTGAAATACAGCCCTTAGAGTGAGGACAGCCCACCTAAAACAACAAGGCACCGCCCGGTTTCTGGGTGGTGGGGGGGGGGGTATCTTTTTTGGAGGATGGGGGGGGTGAAACACTGAATGTTA